TTCTCCCGCTCCAGACAGACGCAGGTTAAGATCCTCTCTGGTAAGCCAGCTCATGGGCTACACAGAATATTAGAAATGGGTTAGAACAATATGTAAGAGCTAGCCATAAGGAACTGGAACTATCCGGGCCAGGCAGTGTTTGAAAGAATACAGTTTCCGTGTAATTATTTCTGGGCATAAGCTAGCCATGCGGGCGGCCGGGTGCCGGGGATGCAGCCCTGCCGCTCCTAATTTCAACAATGTATAGACTAGCATGGTGATGTAAAGCAAGAGCACCCGCTTACAGGGGCTGGGGCTGGGGCTGGGGCTGGGGCCGCTGTGATAGGAGGCAACCACTGCCTACTTAGAAGAAGAGGATGCCGGTGTGAGAAAACTGCCATGGAGGATACTCAGGTCATGAGGTGAACATCAGGATAAACCAAAGAAAGTCCTGGATCAGCTCTACTGTGTGAGCTGAGCCTCAGGTCAGTTAGGGAAACTGGGGGGTTAAGACACAAGCAGACAGAAACCACAGAATCATTGGGAAAGAAATCTGAGCCTTCCTACTGATCTTTGGATCAAAAGCTTGGCCAGCTCCTTCCCTTTCTGATAGTTTACCGATCTTCCTTCACCAGTTCAATCCCCTAATGCCAACCTCTGACTTCAAACTACGTTATTCCCCTGGGGCCTGACCTGGAGGGAGGTATATACCTTTCTTGATTTTGCTTGTTTTTTCTTTTCTTTTCTTTCTTTTTTTTTTTTTTTTTGAGACAGGATCTCATTCTTCAGCCCATACTGACCACAGCACTCTCTTGCTTCAGCCTCCTTGGTGCTAAGATTATAGATGCAAGTCTGGCTCACTTCCCTCTACAGTCATTATATGTGCTACATCTTCCCAGCTAGAACATCAGAGGCCAGAACCAGCACACTGCTGGGTTGATAACGAGGGATAAGACAGCCATGGTTAAAAAAAAAAAAAAAAGACAGCCATGGTTTAGAGTCACCTATTAACACTAGAGAGATTCACGATAAAGTGTAAAATTCCTCAGAACTTGAAGAAATAAGTTCTCACTATAAATCTTCTGATTAAGCAAGGCTGAATCTCTGAAACCATATGTTAATAGAAAGAAGACGGCCATGCAGAACAGAAGCCATGAGAGACGTCTGAAATGCAGCCCTTGAATGGGAAAGTCTTGGGGAAGGAAGGCGGCTGGTGGATACCTAGAGCTGGTACAGGGGGAACATTGGTGGTCCATGGCTCCAGGGAACTTTGTGGATGGTGGAAACTTCCTGTATTGTAAGGTTGGTGTGGAGTATGTTACAGGGAAGTCTACACTTGGCAAAGCTAAACTCAACCTACCTCATTATATATGATACATGCCTCAACAAATCCCACTTACAATATAATAGGAGTAAGAATATAGTTTCTTTAAGCAAGAAAAGGAGGTAGCCAAAGAACTGAGGAGAGTGGCGATGGGGCCATATTGTGAACCTCTGGCTGTGATTCAGTAGAACTGTACGATTTTATAAGTCTATTACTCTATATGTTAAGGTTTTCCTAGGGAGAACTTAAATAATAGCCTTCATGGTGCTTCTCATTAATTTAAAATAATTGGTTTTGACATAGGGTCTCACCATGTAGGCCAGGCTAGACTCAAGCTCAGGATCCTCCTTCCACTGACTCCTGAGTACTAGGATTCCAGGTGTGGTACCATGATCACCTCTTAAAATGACCATCCAATCTCAGAAAATTAACCCTTCCCTCCCCAGCTACAGGACCCAACTTCCTCCTGGCTTCTCATCACACCAGCGTGTTGCCCTGCACGTCACCTTTCACCTGTGAGAACGGGAGGAAGCTGGAGAGCACGGTGCAGCCTCACTGAGTGTGAGCTCCCAGCCTATGTTCTAGTGCATACTCACCCGGTGGGCCCTGCCCCCCAGGCAGGCCAGGAGGTCCTGGAAGGTAGGCGTTTGAGGCCAGCACCTTATCACCATTGGCATACTTGCCCAGTTCCGCAGCGTTGTTGGGAAGCAGAGCAATCTATAAAGACAAGGGAGACCTGCGTCAGAACGCCGGCATTACTCCACGAGGAAGTCTGTGTTAGAGCTGTCTGCAGAGCCTGCAAGACTGGGTCACTATTGCTCTCCACTGTAGCTAGTCAGAGTGAAGATGGGCCAGAGAGATCCTTTCCAGCTGAGGAGCTGTCCAGGGCAAACTCCTGGCAAGTATTTCCTCAGTGGTTGAAGCCAGGAACATTCAGGTTGCTGAGATCTATAGAACAGTTACCACAGCTAATAAAACATACTGGCATTGTGCTTTCTGTCCATTCAAGTAACTGCTTTATAACTTAAACATATATTCATTATATATTATATGCCAGGATCTGTGCTTTGTTTTATGAATCCAATAGTGACCAATACATGGCTCCTTTCCTTAGAGAATGTTCAGTCCTGGGAACCAGGAACAGGACTGTGGGTGACTGTTCACACATATATTCAGGGCCAACCTTCAGAAGAGATGGACAGCAGAAACCTTGGTGGTTAACATAAAACCTGACCACAAGTTCTTCAACACTCCTCCTTCCAAAGGCGAGGCTTGTTCTCATTGTTGGATTGGTTATCGGTTTCTAATGACGAGTGTGGCGGTGGTGGCAGTGTGTAGCTTCTGAGACTGTGGGCGCGGAGGCTACTACCCTGCTTCCTGCCTGGGATTTCTTGTTCTAGAGGAAGCCAGTGGACCGCATGGACAAGCGGCATTGGCAGTCCCTGAAGTCAGGTAATGTGTGAATCTGTGAAAGCTTTGGTGGAAACTGAACAGCTACAAAGGTAATTTCCTCAGGGACAGAGGAGTTGGGCAGAGGCAGCCTTGTGCGAACTGAGGATCAGCCATGAGGCTCAGGGTCATAAGAGGACACTGCCGTGTTCTAGAGTTCAATAAAATGCTTCCAATGTCTCATAGACAGCTACAACTTAGAGATGAGTATGTGGAATAGGAAATAATGAGGGAATAAGAAAAGTCAATACACCTTCTGGGTCAATGGGTCAGCTCTGGCCCCTGAGGCCTCTTTTGATTGTACCATCAGGCACCAGTTGAGACACTGAGGTGTGAATCCTGGTATGGGACTCTGGCTTTGGAAAGGACACTGAATTCTCTAGGGCCTGGATATCATCTATAAACAAGATGGTAGCATTCGCCTATGAGGGCTGCTGCCCAGGAAAATGGATGCGTGGGCCCAGTGTCCAGCCACTGTCACTGCCCAGTGGGAAGGCTGTGCCTGCCCTTGCTCCTGCCTCTGGGCCCAAGTAGTCTTCTAGCCTTCCACGTTTTCACCTCCACACCGACAAAGTGAGGAGTGTCTCTCTAGATGATCACATCTTCATATTCCAAATCCTGCAACCTGGCTTGGGGAGGGGAATCTACCGCGGTTGGGATTAAACACGGCTCCTGTTGCTTTTCCTTTTGACCAGCTTCACTGTTCAAGTTCTAAGATATGCCAGTGTTCCTGCTGCCTGTAGCTTCCATACCCCTAAGACAAGTGGGAAGGAAAGGGAGTGCGTGTGACCAAACACCTTCTCCCAGAAACATCAGGGAAGGGACTTGTGGGGTGTGAGTGTTCGGAAGCAAGGCTATATATAGCAATCTGAGCAGAGCCTGTACTTCTCCTGGGCGTCAAGCAATGAACTTCCAATTACCGTTCTCTCAGATCAGATTTGCTTGGTATTAGACCATCTACCCGAGAGGGCTGTTGGCATGAGCAGGTAGGACACTGAAGATGGCATGCTCACTGCTAATGTTCAGCATGTGCTTGGTAGGTACAGAGCTTGCCCCAGGCAGCAGGCACTGCTGTCAATCTCTTATGGGCAGTAATTAATTTGACATCAAATTTAGCAGGTGTTATTTCTTTCAAGTCTATCATGTACTTGGGACTAAATTCACCCCAATATGCCTCTTATTTCTCCCTTCTCATCTTTTTTTTAAATATATTTATTTATTTATTTATTTATTTATTTATTTATTATGTATACAATATTCTGTCTGTCTGCAGGCCAGAAGAGGGCACCAGACCTCATTACAGATGGTTGTGAGCCACCAATGTGATTGCTGGGAATTGAACTCAGAACCTTTGGAAGAGCAGGCAATGCTCTTAACCACTGAGCCATCTCTCCAGCCCCATCTCTTTAAGTCTGCCTTCTGCTTTCATGTCGCATATGCTGGCACACACATGCATGCATGCATATCTATCTATATCTATATGTACAATCTAAATTGCAAATGTAAGAAAACATTTGTTTTGGTTAGTTTTTTTGACAACTTGACCAACTCTGGTCATCTTGAAAGAAGGATCAGCTAAGAAAATGCCCCCAGAAGAGTGCCGTGTAGACAAGCCTGTGGGGCTTTTTCTTCATTAATGATTGATGTAGGAGGGCTCAGCCCACTGGGCAGGTGGTCCTGGGTTGGGTAAGAAAGCAATTTGATTAAGCCATTGTGAACAAGCAAGCTGGTAAGCAGTGTCCCTCCATGGCTCATTCTAGTTCCTGCCCTGACTTCCCTTGATGATAGACTTTGATTGAGTTATACAAATAATCAAATAAATCCCTTTCACCCCAAGCTGCTTTTAGTCATGGTCTTTATCACAGCAATAGAAACTTAACCTAAGATAACATGCATTTTTTTATCTGGATCTAGCTAATTTCATTAAACATATTGATCTCCAGTGTATCTCCAGTGTATCTATCTTTCTGGAAAGGACATGATTATTCTTTGTGGCTCAATAAAATTCTGTGGTACATATATTTAAAAAGATTATAACATGTATGTGTGTGTGCGCATGCACGCATGTGTGCATGCGATTTAGCTGGGGGAAGTCAGTTCAGAACCTGCACATGTACTTGGTAGGAAAGCCTGCTCACTGACCTCTGAGTTCTCAAGCTTGGCTACCTCCTCACTCCATTTGATCACTGTTAAGTCACACTGTTGGCTTGGTTTCTTTGTAAACTGTCAACTTGCTTGAGGCAGGACTTTATTCCACACTGTCTTTCCTTGTTGCTCAGGCCACTATATGGCACAGTGAGTGCTCAGCAAATACCTGTAACATTATCTCGATTGCTCATTGTCGGTTAACTAAGCATCTCTGGCATAAGAGGGCCGTGATCCCCCGCTCCCTATACAGTGACTTTCAGAGGCTGAGCATGCTTGTGGGTCCCGAACTGCTGTGCAGGCTCACTGACGAGCTATGCCTCTCTCTCTGGGGTCTTTTTCCCTGGTCCTCTCTAGCTATCTCTCTCCCAGAAGTCTGTTTAGACATACGAGTGAATTTCAGAAGAAACTGGCTGCTTCTCCTCAATGCTCAACCAAAGCCTGAAGGACAGGTACTTTGTGGTCCTCAGGCTCCCTTCTCAACAGATCACATTTCTTTTTTAACTTATAAAAATGAAGGGGAATGAAGGGGAAGAGGCACTGAGGGCTGAATGGACAGTACAAGCCCCAAACAGGAAGTTTCGTAGAACTAACAGATGCAGCTTAGAAAATGACTAAACCACACACACTCGGTGGACACTCAAGCCAACATGTAGACCTTCCGGTCACCCCAGATCTCCCTAAGTGCCCCTCGCCACTCTCCTTCCTTCCTTCCTTCCTTCCTTCCTTCCTTCCTTCCTTCCTTCCTTCAAAAATAGCCACTGTCCTGACTTGTACATTATATCCTGCATTAAACCAACAATTTACCGCCCAGCAGTCCTTCCCCGAACACTGTGGTTAACCTTGCTAGTTAAAAAGTGGCAGGTCTTGTAGGCTCCTTGGATTCTGCATGCTGCCGTTCTATGTGGCTTTCTTTTCCAATTGATTCCTGAAGAGCCAAGGGATTTGACCTGGAGCATTTTCTGTGGCTAGAATTCTGGCTACTGTATAGTCATAGTGTAGTTGAACACGTGTGTGCACTACCTCATCCTATGGGGCGGGCTGCTCTCCAGCCCCCCTTCCATATTCCTACTTCTTAGACAATGTTTATCCGGGCAAATAAATGCCTTGTGTTCTACGAAAAGAACAGATGACGTCAGCAATGGCAAGCGGATGTTAAAAGCAAATGATCTATCTACACCAGGCTTCGGGAGAAGGCCTGGATTTCAAGCCTGACCTCTTGAGCATGCATGCATCTCTGGGAATGTTAGCATGTTTCTTGCAAGGCTATGGTGACAGTTAAGTGAGATTTTTGTATATAAAACTGCTCCACATATGGCAGGAAGCCATGCATTCCAGGAGGTACCTTCTAAAGAGAATTCACCTTCAGCTGGGTATGGGGACACATGCCTGTGACCCCAGCACTCAGGAGACAGAGGCAGGTGGATCTCTGTGAGTTTGAGGCTAGCCTGGTCTACAGAGCGAGCTCTAGGACAAGCTCCAAAGCTATAGAGAAACCTTGTCTTGAAAAACCACAAAGAGAAAGAGAGATACAGAGAAAACTTTGTCTTGAAAAACCACAGAGAGAGAGAGAGAGAGAGAGAGAGAGAGAGAGAGAGAGAGGCCAAACACAGCAACTAGTTTGCTAACGACTCACAATACTGAGTGCCTTCAAAGCAGTCCAGCTGGAGAGAATTTATGTAAGGTCATAGGTTATTTCCAGGGAAGGCAAGTGAGGGCAGCTTTGTGCTTTGAGACCATAATTAACTACCTCTCCAAAGCCCGATGCTTCTAGCTTATGAAAAGCAGGCTTAATGCTTCTACAAACCTGGGTTTCCTCTAAAGATGCTAACATCAATTCAAGTGTCACCTGGGGATAGCTGTATGGGAAATATTTCCTCCTTTCTCTTTGTTTATCCTGGCTCCCAGACAAAATTTTCCTGCCTGTCTATGATAGCACAAGCTATTTATGATTAGGTCCATGATTTACTCTTGATTATGCAAGTATGTATGAGCCTCTGCTAAAGTCGATCATGACCTCACCAGCCCATGCTTCAGAGGTCGGAAACACTGCTCCCCGTCTGGGCCTGTTGTTTCAATTGGTTTAGCTGGTAGCTGGGCTTCTCATTAGGGCGGCTGCCACTTTCCTGGCCATGGAAGAGATAGTGTCTTATGTTACCCTTTTACCCTTTAGAATAACCGACTGCCAGAGCTAAACAGATTATACACAGCACTTTGATCTCCGGAGGGCCTTGAGTGGAAGTGATTAAACAAACAAAGCAGCAAGTTTATGTTTGGGGAGCTGAAGAACCGTTTCAGAGTGCGCTGACCTCAGGTGTAATAAACACGAACCGAGGACTGCGCCCTGCGATCCGTCTCACTGGGCAGATTCTTGCAGGAAGGGAATTGGTCCTCACGCATGGTGACATGATGCACTCAGAGGACTGCTTTCCCAGATGCACGTCTTCCCCTGGACCCTAACATTTACATGAGAAAATGAAGGCGCCACAGGAAGACATCAGTTTACAGAAGAGAGAGGACATTGAAGAGAATGTTTTCAATGAATAACACGGATAAAATACTGTTTGTTGTCTAGGTCTGCCCAGGGCCATGGGTCTTTGAAGTCTCGGCAGTATTTGTATGACTCTTACAACAACTTTGCATGTACCTATCGCCAGGCCTGCTATAGTAACCTCCTTTCTCAGGTCTTTGCCTTGGGTTCCATTGCTGTTTAGGTGGTCAGCTCTGGAGTGGGGAAAACACCCAGAATTCACATCCGGTTTACACCAACTGCAATGAGTGGCCAACCAGAAAGATCTATTTTCTCACTCACCCACCATCTGCCCTACAGGCCCTTCACCCTCCCTTACACACACACACACACACACACACACACACACACACACACATACACACCCGCCCATTGTGCTTCCAGTACCTTCTGTTTCAGCTGCAGCACCGTCTGCTTCATCTGGGAGAACTCCTTGCACGTGGCACAGCACGTCCCAGCTTTCACCTCATTCTCGGCCTTCTCCTCGTGCCCTGGGGAGAGACAAAGCTCAGCTTCAGCTGGGAGACTGGCAGTGCACATTCCTGGAGCGATGGCACCAGAAAGGCTCTTCTTGGGCATGCGGGATGGAGAGGCTGACCATGGAAATTGTATAAGGGGTGGGTGTTCTCTGGATTATCCCAGAATGACCCAGGGTCAAGGGAAAGGGGAAGGGACTTATTTAGGTCCCAATTCCTGGTCATAGCCTTTGGGGTAATCACGGTGGCAGGAAACGGAAGCAGGTAGTCCAGGCCAATCGAGAGCAGAGGGACGCGAGCGCATGATTTTACACCCAGCTCCCTTCTATACAGCCCAGAATGATGCTCCACACTTTTAGGTGGGGTCTTCAACTAACGATCACCATAACTAAGGCACGCCCACCCCATGTGCCCATAGATTCAATTCAGACAATTGCTCATTGAGAGTCTTCTCAGATGACCCACAGGGTGTCACGTTGATAATTCACATTGATCATTACTCCATTCCATCCACCCCTCTTCACCTAGGGAGCTGCTCAGTGTGGGAAGGAGGTTTTATGAATGGGGGATCAAAACAACACTTCTGCTTCACCATTGACATCTGACCTTGGTGTAAGACCAAGCCCCCTGCTGATGGCACACCTGTAGAAGTGAAAAGCAGATCTCTGCACCCCCATTTGCACATCCCCAGCTGGATTTTCCAAGTGTTGGTACAAATGCATGTCTGCATGACAGGGTAATCCTACCTCGCCACTCGGTTCTGGACTCATGTTATATGGATTACGGAATGTTAGAGCGGACACATCTTTATTGCCCTCTTACAGATAAAGTAAGCCCTAGAAGGGGGTGGTAACTTGATTACGCAGAATACGGCTTGCAGGCCACACAATTATAGGGCCCAATTGGCCCTTTGGGGTATGGGGTAGGCACAAAGGGAGGCTGTTATTAGAGTCTCTGCTGAGAACACCCAGATGTGGTCTGGCAGGTCCAGGGAAGACACTCCACTAAACTTACTGTCTTCCTAAATTCGCCCCTAGCTTTATGTTGCTGACTTTCCAGATTTTCAGGATGCAGTACTACAAAGAAGCCACACGGGGGCATGGAGCTCTAATTTTTATGAGAGTCCAGTTAAACATGTTGAACGCTAGAAATGTAACGGCTTAGAAATTAGGGTAACAAATAAACTTAGAAGAACCCAAGAATGTGCTTCACATGGGAAGTGCCCCAAGTGAATTAAAGGATTTTGGTTTAAAAACTTGACTATGCTGTATAGTGAATCCAGTCCCAGCACATCACAATCCCCCCATGGGGGGGGGGGGAGGGCGGAGCAGGACTTTGAAAACTCCGCCCGCCCACCTGGGGGTGGCAGTAAGGGGCAGTGTCAGTATGTGTTAACATTACCCTCGTTAAGAAATGCCTAATCTATTATTATCAGAGTTTGAAAGTTATTTGAAACACCTGGCCCTTTCTGAGTCTTTGAACTGTATTGAGTGACACTTGGGGTCACGGTAACTTTATCAGAAAATAAACACAAGTTGAAAAATAAAGGCCAGTTAAGCTAATCACGATGGAGCCAACATTTCCTTCATTGTCTGCCCCTTGCGGTACGCAGACTCCCTTGTGTCTTTGCTGGCTCCGGCTCTGGGTTTTCAAAGATAAAAATCAAAATGACTAAACATTAATTTGTCAGATGGCTTGTATCACTCAGCCAGGGGACATTCTTTCAAACTGTCAGAGGCTGTCCTGGGGACACATCTGCTAGACTTCCTATCAATATCATCATCACCATCATCATCATTTTAGTTTTAAAGTTCATTATACTATGTTACGTGTACGTATCAAGGCACGCATGCATGTGGAGAATACATTTGACTTCATGGAGACTTGCAGAAAGCTTTGTGGAGTTGGTTCTCTCCTTTTACCTTTAAAACAGGTTCTGGGATCAAACTCAGGCCATCAGGTTTGTATGACAAGCAGCTCACCGACCCTGGACTTCTATTTTAAGTTTGTCTGACTCTAACATTGTAGCTGTTGGAGAATGAAAAGCCTAAGAAATATATTACCCTAAAAAATTCCCCCCAAACTCAGAACATACCAGACAGGGAGAGGTGCTTTTTAGATCACGTGTTTATACTCAATAATCATTATCTTCACTATAAAACAAAATAAGACGGTGAAATACTGGGCTGCCCAATTTGTCCAAAGCAGCTGGAAATGCTTAGCTGCCTCATATCCAGAAGGCTCGTTTTGCCATGAGCATGGCTTACAACTGAGCTGCTTGTTCGGATGTGAAACCACTCAACCTTGAAATACTGAAAAGAACCTTCCCTACACGGAAGGTGTTAAAGCTGGGCATGTTTTCAAGTCCGAGTTCTTGCACAGATAGAGGACAAGGAGATAAAAATGCAGGGAACACTTGCATTGTTATATTTTATCCCAGCATATTTTGAAACGTTTTCCAAGAGCAAAGGGACCTCGGAGCTGGAGATCAGCAGTGCCCCCAGAGACCAGTCTCAAAGCACACTGTCAGTGAGCACTAATCTAGCTTGCTTGGGTCACCTGCTCTGATGTCCTAGGTGAGAAACTTCCTGCGGCATCATGGTTGTCTTCATGGGCCCTTTCCTTCCCCCTTTCTTCTCTCTGTCCCCAGAGTCATGAGAGACAAAAAGTACCTGAGGCAGTGGTGGCTCAGGGGTCAAGCAATTGAATTAGGACAGGGAACTTCTGGGTGCACAAAGACCTGGTCCTCTCTCAAATCTGTATGAATGATTCCTCTCAATTTCTACCCCAGATCTCCCTGACCACCAGTATAATCATGCTCCTTTGTCAAATATAAAACCAGACCAAAAATCTCTATGGTGCTTAGTGCAGTGGAGACTGTAAATTGACAATTAGGAGTATTTGGAAATGATATTGTAAGGATCACACTCTGGGGGATGTGAAAGAGCTGATGGTGGTGTTTTATTAACGTGTCTTATTTCTTCCAAAGCAGGTGGAATTGCCGTGTGCGGAGGGTGGTGGAAGAAGAGGCAGGAGGAAATGGGAGAAAACCTACAACGCGATTCAACTGTTCTACGCTTTGTGTCTCAGTAAGACTCAATGGTAAAATCAGCAGATGGTTTTTTCCAGCAAAAGACAAGGGCATTTCCCATTTGGCCACTGTTAGAGGAACCAGGAATTCCTGAATATGGCACATTGAAAGAGGCCTGCCCTGTTTCCACCTGTGCTGTGCCAGGCCCTGCACAGTGAATCTCCGTCTCCACCCTCTGCTCTTCAGCCGCTATCGGTTAGTAACACCTTTGTCTGAGAATTGACCAGATGTCCCACCAAGTTTAGCTCTAGAACTCAGATTTGTGACATAAGGTAGTTTCCAATCTGTGATTTTTAGGACATCATCCTACGAGATCTTAAAATAGTTATTTGGGGGCTAGAAAGATGGCTCATTTGTTAAGGACCCTGGCCACTCACTATTCAGAGGAATGGTGTTCGATTCCCAGCACCTAGATGGCAGCTCATAACCATATTTAACTCCAGTCCCAGGATATCCAATACCCTGTCCTGGCCTCCTTGGGTTCTGTGTGCACAGACATGTGGTGCACAGACATACATGCGGGCAAAACACACATACACATACGATAAACAGAAACTAAAATAGTAATACCCGTTTTACGAATTGGTATATTGCACATGTGTGTGTTTATGTGGTGTGAATGTGCATTTGGTGTCTTCCTCTAGTATTCTCCAACTTATTATTACTTAAAAATCCAGACATTTATGTGTGCGATGGTGTATATATGTGTGCACCAGGTGCATGCAGGTGCCGGAGGAGCAGAAGAGGGCACTAGATCACCTAGAACTGGAGTTACACATCGTTCTAAGAGCCCTGATGTGGATGCTGGGCCCTAAAACCAGCCCATATTTGCTGAGTTACCTCTCCAGGCCTTCAGCCTTATTTTTTTGAGACAAAGTCTCTCATGAACTTCAAGTTTGATCTTGTTATTTTGCTTAGACTGCTTGGTTGATGTGCCCCCAGGATCTGCTTGTCTCCAAGGCCCCTAGCTCTGAGGTTAGAGACGTGGGCTGCTGCGTCTTGCTTTTATGTGGATCCTAGTGCTTGTACAACACACTCTTTACCCACTGAGCCATCTCTCCTGAAGATCCTTCTGCCCTGACAGGCAGAGACTTCTTGTGGGAGTGGTCAGCTCGGTGTTATGGGTATCTGAATACCCTCCCTAAAGGCATGAATTTCTGCCCTGACACTCAGCAATACATTTGCTGTTCTGATGGATTTGCTCTATATATTAGGGATTCTCCAGGCTCCCTCCTGTCCGCATAAAAAAATATTTGTCTCTTATCAATTCAGGCAACCCACAGCCAACTGTGTACGGGCAGCTGGGAATCCAAGTCTACAATGACAACTTAGAAAGCAGCGTCCTTGTGACATCCCCACACAGTCCCCACGTGTGGATGGATTGATGGCTAAAAGGTGGCACCCGCTGTCAATGAGCGCCTTCATTTCAATAGAGATATGCCGTATCTCCCTGCCTATGGGGCAGACAGCAGTGATTTTAATTTTGAATTAAAAAAATGGTCTGTAAATTATTTTCCTAATTAAACTTTGTACCCCAAAGATTGCCACCCTTTGATCTGTAGCGCCCTCTGGATGGGTAGGCTCCGTATGCTTCAGAGTCTCAAAGGTGCCCCACGCTCAGCCCCCTCTACATACACGGGGTCTGTAAATGCCCTGTCCTGAGCTGGCTCCAAGTCGCTATTTTGCATTGACTTTTTGCACATGGAGGTTTCTCCATGACTCAACCTAGCTGCTCTTCAGAATCTGCCTTTGTAGTTGTTTCTCGCGAGGCAGCTGGTGGCCAGCTGTTTGCTGCCTCCCAGCCCCTTTTGAAGCTTAGGCTTCATCACGTGAGTGCCCAGATGTTTCTGGTTTTCTTGACTCCCAGCTCATCTGGATACACGTGATTTAATGCCCTAGGATTCTCCTCCCTTCCCGGGCATGGCTCAGGCCCCCTAACCTCTCTTAACTGAGTTCACGTGATTGCTCCAGCACGTGCAGTGTGCATGCTCCTGTTGGTACAAATTCGGCCTCTGGGCCTCTAAACGGCTCAAGATTTTCTCTCTAGGGAACTTGTTTGGCCAACACTGGTAGGGAAGACTATTTTGCCTCAAAGTTCATTCCAGCTGGACATTGGTCCCCACAGGCTAAAATTCTAGATTTTATTGACTAGCTTGGCACTTGGCAGAGAGATCAGAGGCCCTTCACACGTGAATGTTATAAGCATTTGCCTACCAATCTAGGAGCTCTTTTCTTTTTTCTCTTTCCCCTTCTTCCTCTTTTTTACTTTATTCTTTCTTTTTTTTCCTTCAGAGGAACTACCCCAGCATGCAGGCTGATCCCACACTCTGGTGACCAGTCTCATCTTGGCTGAATCTGGCTGCTGTGTTCATGTCCGGCAGCTTCCCAGCTCCACGCTGAAGCTCCAGATGGTAGGAATTGGGTAACTGACTGTGGGCTCATACAAAATGAGTTGCTTAAAAGATTATATGTGAAATTTGGAATTTAAATAAATGTCCTCTGTCAAAACTGGTGTTAAAAATTCGCTCGCACTCCAATTTCTGTCTTTATCTGATCCCGAACCAAGCAGCGAGTTCACAGATGGGCACACGACACGGACTGCATTTTGGGTTGTGTTGAAATAGACTGTGACCGTAAGTGGCAATTATTCAAACACACATTTCAACATACTTTCTTTGAGAGAATACCATGTCTGGCCTCTTCCCTGTTCATTCTGGGATCCTGGAAACATACAGCCAGTGCTACTGATTCCCCTGCCCCAGTATCAGTCAGGATGCCACACTCACTACAGACCCGGCTCCTGCCAGCTCGCCTTCGAATGACTTTGATCTTTGGTTCTCACCTAGGTGCCACTTGTAAGTGTCCCCTCCTGCACAGAGTCACCAGAGGAGTGGTTGGGCTCCCAGGTGCCTATAATTTCCATGTTATGCATTTATAATCCATACTACATCTAAATATATAAAATGGGATAAATAACATTATACTAAAAGTAACACAAACTATATATATAGTATAATTGCATAATATAGACTGTAGATTATACCTAATCATGTTTTATATATTATGTGTGTATTATCTATCATGCATACATACCATATGATATAGCATGGGATACCATTTTACATATAAATATGCAATATGCATTATATGTATAAGCTACATCTATAGAATATAAAATCATATAAACATAAGAGACACTTTCATTGCTATGTCTATGTAATTCTTAAGATCTAATAGAAAGGCGCACACAATCAAGGGTACCATGCTTCTCTTGCTCACCAGTGTCGTTGGGGTATTTGTCTCCCCTGGTGCAGGTCTTCCCATCGTCCTCAAGGACGTAGCCCTCCCGGCACTCACAGTGGTAGCTGCCCATGGTGTTGATACAGATGTGCGCGCACAGAGTAGTGTTGCTGCTGGCACATTCGTCAATATCTGGTTTGAATCAAATACATAGAACAATGTCAACACAGTAACACAGCTGCCCCCTCTGTTGACCTGAGTGAGAGAAACGTCTAGACCTGAACCAGAGAAGTGTGGAATAAAGTGAAGCGCCAGGAACACAGGTCGTACATGAAACCATAACTTTGGGCCATGTGCCCACCATTAGAGACCTAGAGAGGTGGTGTCTGTCATGCGGGTGGGTGCCACAGAGGCTCACTCACGGGTGGTAGGGCATGACAAATGAGGCCAGTCCTAAGCACTCCCCAGGGTGTTGATGGAGCTGCAGTGGGCTGCGTTCTCACCCAGCTCCGCACGGCTAGCTTTACCCGAAATAATTACACGGAAACTGTATTTTTTTTAAACACTGCTTGGCCCATTAGTTCTAGCCTCTTATTGGCTAATTTTTATATCATTTCCCTCCTCCATCACCAGGGCTCCATGGAAGAGAAAACAGGATGACCAGCAACACAGCTGACTTCTGCAGGTAGCTTGGAGGGCTGAGGTTTCATCCCCCTTTCTAATGGGAGGCTTCAAACAGCACGATGGTGACCCAAAGGTCACTTCGGAAAGGTCTCTTCCCAGTTAAGAGACATTGGCAGTAACTGGAAAACGCTACTTCTAACAAAAGTAAATAGTAGGATGGGCCTCAGGGAGATAGGTTTCCCCAGGCAGTCCCTGTTCCACACAGACCCACGCTGACCCCCGGGTGAGCTGTGGAAATGAGCCATGAGATTATCAAACACGGGACCACAAGCGAGTCAGCATGGACTGTGGACAGCGCTGATTCAGTTCCCTGTGGCATGGAGTGGAAACAGAACTGTCTCTCGCCACGGGGAAAAAGGGGAAGGCTATATTCCATTTCCTGTTCACAGCACAAAGACATCTGGAGTAGCAGATAGAAAAAAGGACACCACCTCAGACTCGACACATGTGGCAGGCAGAGCCCAGCTCTGGAATCCAGGAGATCGACAGCTTTCCAACTGCTCCCTGGGCAAGCTGCCAAAGGTCTATCTCTGACAGGAGCTGCTGGTGCCAGGGAGAGAATGGCGATGCAGGTGTTCCCCTGGCAGCACACTGTTGTCTAGAGGCTGAGGGTCCCAACTGAAGCCTACTTAGAGGCGTCCCTGTCCTAATGCTAAGTATGAAGCCGTTGTACTTTAGGGGCGCCTTTTGTTGTACCCAGCCTCCTCTGGTCACCAAAAGAAAACAGAAGGCTGAAGTGGCTATGGGACACTGAAATATTGGCCTCCATGTGTGGCCCTGAGCCATTTGTAACATCCCTGCTCTGTGTAGGTGATGTCATGGGCTCCTGCTCTATTCACTTAATTGTGTTGGCCCCATCCTTTGCTAGTGTGCGGTACTGTTTCCAGATACTGTTGGGAGGCTGTAGCAGGCCTATGGCTAGACCTTTGCCCCAAAGTTTCTCCCAGAGCCCTGGTGGGCAGAGGGGAATGACTGTTTATCAAGGCATCTAAATAATTCCCACTTGAGTCTATGACCATCTCAGTTCATCTTCTGATTCTTGAACTTCGCTAAACCTGTCAATCACTTAGTGATGTTTGTGAAAAGTTACATTCCTGGGTCTACCACTCAGAGATGTCTTATTTGCCTTGGAGATGAGGCCAAGACCCCAGGTTAGTCACAGAATGATCACACTTTGAAATAGACAATCTCTTGAGACAATGTGTCTTCTTCGAATGGCATGATAGGAAACCCATGGCCAATAGAAACAAAGAAACAGGCTGGTAGCCACTGAGGGTGCATAGGCTGTTTGCTTAATTGTAGTCCAGGCAGTTGGTCTCAGCTTTCTTTAAACTGTTTCTCCCCCTGCTCGACAACAATACTTCTATTCTCCTGCTTGTATGCTCTGGATGCCAAGCTTCATTTTGTTCTATGTTTTTGCATTTCTGATTTTTTTTTTCTTGAGACAGGGTCTCTCTATGTAAACCTGTCCTGGACCTCAATATGTAGACCAGGCTGGTCTTGAACTCAGAAAGATCTCCTTGCCTCTGCCTCCTGAGTGTTAGAATTAAAGGTGTGTGTCACCACACATGGCTCCTGCCCCTCTGTGTTCTGTCTTACATGATTCTAGTTTGCATAGGACACCCTCCCTTTTCCCTAGCTCTCCTCTCAGACTCTGACTAATTCCAGCTCCTGAAGCCATCTTTGTACCTTATTTGTTTTGATGAACATGACGAAAGCTAGGGTCCCCAGGCTAAACCCAAATACCACTCCATCCCATGAGTCCAAAGATTTCAGGGGAGGACTCAGAGTTTACCAGCTCCTCTGACCTGGTCCTGCTGCAGCAGCAAATCCACCAAAGGGCAGAGGTATCTGAACACAGCCCATCCCCAGGAGCTAGAAATGCATTTCCTACGTACCCAGGCAGTACGGCTTCTCCCGCTTTTGGTGTCTCTCGCGGTCGTATCGGTATCCTGGGTAACACGTGCAGAGCACTCGGCCGAAGTTATCCGTGCACTGCTGTTCACAGGGAGCCTGGGCACAGATGTCATAGTCTGAAAGAAAGAGTGTGTTCACATCAACCTCTCAGCAGGAGCTGGGCGAGCCAGCCCTAGCCTGGAACAGACTTGGAAGGCTGCTCTTTTGCTAAGAGTTAAATGTGAAGTGTGGCTGGCCACCTTTCGAGAGCTGTCAACTCTTTCAAAGTTTCCAAGAGTACCACAGCGGATAACTTAATGCAAGGATCTCTGTGATTAAAAGAAACGTCACTTGGATTTTCTCCTTCCATTTCCATCGTTATCCGGAACACAAAGATGTTTAAGCAGCCAGGCTGCACAGCATCCCTGGGACCTGTGTTGTCTTTCCCTCCAAATGACACAGAGAGTGTATTCCTTCCAGCAGAATGTGAGGACAGGCCAGAGCAGGTGAGAGTTGACTGTCACACTATGGGGTTAGGCAGGCTCTGAGAAGGAGGGGGGACACTTTGGGGTTGTGGGGACTTCTCAGAGTCAGTACACCTGTAACTCTTGCTCATGCAAGCACTAACAGGAAGGTTGACCCTGCCCTCAGAGAAGACTAATACACATTTGAATGGCTACCAATGTCTTATCAGCTTGAAGCTTGTGTAAACTAGAGTAGAGTTGTTATTACCCAAAGAATTAGGGCATAGGCTCCCCTGGGCTCTGATGAACTGGTGTTTAATGTACCTCTTGAAGGGCCTTTGGCTTTAAGTCTGAAGCTCTGGCTCAGCATTTGCTCCCAGACCAGACTCAACATCTCATTAATCACGGCCACTCTCCTCGGGTGCCGACAGATGCAGTCTCCATGGACACAGAGAGCGCCTGGCTCTGCTCTGGTAGATATGAAGTCAAACAGGTGGGCTGTCAGCTCCTAGCACAGGCTGTGTCAGCTCCTGCTGCAGCCTGGGTTAGCATGACAAGGTTCATGTCAGTCTCAGGATGACCTAAAACTGCCCTTACTAAGCCCTCTTTCCTACAAGTGTGAGTCCAGGTCTGTTCTGCCTGCACGGATTCTGACCAGCCTTGCAAACTGTTTCTGGTTATATATATATATATTTTTTATCTGAATGAAGTTCTAGATTCTTTTGGCTGGAGAGAGCAGGATCTCAGTATGGCTGGTGAGCAACCCTTTCCTCCCAGTGGTCACCATAACTGGGCAGAAGCCAGAGAGAAGAGGAAAGCAGAGTGCCTGCCTAAAGAACTTGCATCAACTGTGGCAAGGGAGCTTTGAGAAGCCATTGTCCCAGCGTCCCCTTCTATCCCTGCTTCCCCGGGGTGTCACTTCCAGCACATTCGGTGAGCGGTGTTTCTCATATTATTCACCCCTGCGTCTCACAATGGCCAGCTCACCTCACGTCTTCATTTTCGGCACTCCCTGTTCATTTCTAGCCATGCAAGAGTCTTCATCGCCTCCTCGCACGCCTTGAACACCACCCTTCTAAATCTTTCCATCGAGTCAGTGATTTCTTTGGAATTTGAGTTGAATAGGACTTCGGTGTTGACAACAAACTGACGATATGAAAGCTGTCCTCTACTGAGCTTAGACATGATCTCTGACCATTGATCTTTTCGGGGACCCCCCCGACTCTTTTTTGCTTCCCCAGAATGAAGATAACCCTGGTGTGTGTTTGGTGGTTGCTAATGAGTTCAAATCTGTGCCACCTCCTTTTCCATGGGCTGCTTTACGACTTGGGTCTTGGGCCATTTTTATTTTGGTAGTCACTGGCCTACTAGGTACCGTCAGTAAGGGGCACTGGGGAAGGGGGAGGAACATGATGAAGATGGACACAGAAACACAAAGACAGGGAGGTTGCAAGAGGAAGGAGGGCTGTGCATGTCTGCTTGCTGTCTGGACTTCTTTCCTGGGAGGCTCATCTGTGTTTCCCTCCTTCCGCACACCAGCATGGTGTCTCAACAGCAGTAAGAAATGCCGCTGTATCCTTTTCCTGCCACTTCCAGAATCAACCTCATTACATCCTATTTGAGATATGCCCCACCAGACACACCCCAAAGTTTGGGTTCTAGATCTTTGGGTTATGTTCTCTGAGTTCAGAACAACAGTCCTGACTGTCTAGTGCCTCAGAGGTCTAGGCTACATTTAGAGATACTGTCTTAGTCATGGTTTCTACTGCTGTGATGAAACATGGCCGAAAGCAACTTGGGGAAGGAAGGATTTTTGCTTGGCTTATCCTTCCACATCACAGTTCATCATCAGAGGATGTCAAGACCAGAACTCAAACAGGGCAGGAATCTGGAGGCAGGAACTGATGCAGAGGCCATGAAGGAGTGTTGCTTACTGGCTTGTTCCTTATGGCGGACTCAGCCTGCCTTTTATAGAAACCAGGACCACCAGCCCAAGGTGGTAAGCATCCCTGAGAGATACATCAATCACTAATTAAGAAAATGCCTGCCAGGCTGTGGTGGTACACACCTTTAATCCCAGCACTCAGGAGGCAGGGACAGGCAGATGTCTGTGAGTTCGAGGCCAGCCTGGTCTACAGAGTGAGTGCCAGGACAGGTTCCAAAGCTACACAGAGAAATCCTGTCTCAAAAAATCAAAAATAAAATATAAAATAAAATAAAATGCCCTACAGGTTTGCTCACAATGCAATCTATGGAGATTTTCTCAACTAAGGCTCCTCCTCCCTGATGACTCTAGCTATGCCAAGTTGACATAAAACTAGCCAGTACAGAAAGATACTCTCCCTCTGAGCTTGCCAGTCTGAACTGGTCCACTGTCTCTCTTTGCTCCCTGTGCAGAGCTGGTAGTCACGGACTGCACCTTTTATCTCTGTTGTACTTAATGTTTTCCTTTTTTCTTTTTTAACTTTCAGTGTCCAGCCAGAAATTCTTCCTATCAAATCCTCTCTGTTCATCAGTTATAGTTGTCCTTCTGGACTTAACTTTTGATCCACACAACTCAGTTTCTTAAATTTTGTTACTAATTTATTCCCAGAGATAAGTTTGGAACTCTCGTAAAATGTCTAAAGTATTTGGATATATTAGTAATTTAATCTTGGGGAGGTTCCCCCAAAACAGGCATGTCTAACCCACACAGGTCACATGTGTCCCTGGGTAACTGTGAATATAACCTAATGCATTTATAGATGACATCAAGTCACACCGTCAAAAGGGTGGGCACCCTGATGAAACATTCTGATTTCTTCCTATTAAGACTTTATGTGATTATCTTTTGAGGGGCACCCCTGCCTTCTGCCATTCATACCCTGTCTTTCCTGATTTACTATCCTAATCCAGTAGAGCCTGCTGTCCAGTATATCCCAAAAAAGGCCACAAAAGAAGTTGATCTCACACATGTAAAAATGACTGCCAACACATAGGAGTGCTGATAGTTGAAATATGTAAGTAGGTTGGTCAACTTTAGGTCCCTGTTTGCTCTATTGTCTCCTATGGTCTTACCACAGCTAAATCCTAGTCTTTCTATTTCACAGGAATTTTTATTCCTCTTTGAAAAATTTTAGGGTTCTTCTTTTTTAATTCTATTGTGCTGAAATTTCATACTGCATTTATTATATATACTAGAATGATGGTGTCAGGTCTTTTGCATGAGCCATCTGGTATACCCAGGGATAACATTTCTAAGTCTTTGAGTATAAGTCACTGCAACTGATAGGAAGAGTGAGGCTGGGTGTTTGAACAGGTAATGTGTGAGCCTGAGCTGAATGCCTCTGTTGTCTGGCTGTCTTCTCTGAAGCCTGTGTTTCACCTCTCAGAAGAACTGTCTTGACTCTCCTTGTCTGGTCAAGCAAGGGTCGGTGTTCTGTCTGAGACAGAACAAGATCTAGGAGGGCAATCTCTCTGACTTTTAGCCAACCCTTTTCTTTCTGTTTTTGCTTTTGTTGGTTTGCATGCACATGTGTGTGGAGGTCCGTGGTCACTAGTGGGTGTCTTTCTTGGTCACACTCCACCCTTTTTATTGAGAGAGGATCTCTCACTGAACTTGGAGGCTCCCTAAATCTGGTAGGCTTGCTGACCAGTGAGTCCCAGGACCCCGCTTACGTCTGTCCTTGTGAACACTGGGGTTACAGACATTATGCCACCTGGTATCTTAATGTGAGCATTGAGATTCTGAACCCAGGTTCTCATGCTTGTACCATAAAAACTTTACTGAGCCATTTCCCAGCCCCTTCTGCTTTTGCTACCACTTTCACCTTTATTTCTGGTGCTCTTGCCTGTCTGGTTTACTATGAGGTCAGTTGTCCTTGGCTTTTCCTGGTAGTGGCTCAGACTTCATTCTCTTCTTTTTGCTAAGAGTCTTCCCACCCCCAGGGCTGATCTCTAGCTTCCAACATTTTGTTGATGATATCTGTTCTTTCTTTCCCTTGGATCTTGTGGATTTTATGTCTTTTCCACTTTGTGGGCTTCTGAAGGGAGCAAAGGTAATGAATTTATTCAGTTCTCTCTCTCCAATGCTTGTTTTCTAGCGCCAACCCACTTTCGGTCATGCAGCTCCTATCTTTAAATTGTATCTACTTTCTATCGTCTCGGTTCTGTTTCTCTTGGCATGATTCTAATTCAGACCCAGACACTCTTGTGTAAACAGCATCTTCACCAAGAGTCTTCACATTTAAATCCACTGTATATAATGCTGCCAGGCCACCCTTGCTAAGGTGAGCATTGTGTGGCTCCGTCCTTGCTCAGCTAAGCCAGGCTTTCTACATACTTAGAGAATCCCTAATCTTAAAACTTCAAACATTCTGAGTTCCGTGATGTTTTTGGATTTTGGAGCCTTTCAGATGTCCAGATTAGGGATGTTCAAACAGTAAGGTCTGTGTAAATATTTCCCTATCCAAAGACTCTGACACATGAAGTATTTCTGGCACCAAGCATTTCAGACGAGAAGTGCTCAGCCTGCATTCGTCACCTTTAAACCATGGCTTGGTCTTGCGTTTGAGATCTGACATTATAGCCCTTGAGACTTTTCCAAACTTCTCAGTCATTTACGAGTTCGGAGACTTTGAAAGCCTAAAATCTTTTTGTTGTTGTTGTTATTCTGTGTCATAGTACACTTCTTATCTCCACACAAGTTTTCACCTCCACACCTCCAATGAAATAAATATGGATAAAAAACTCCATATTTATCCTCAGTGCTGTAGGATTGATTGTCGAGAGCAGTGGTTCTCAACCTTTGGGGGTTGGACAGCCCTTTCACAGGGGATTGCCTAAGATCCTTAGAAATATCAGATATTTACATTATGATTCATAACAGTAGCAAAATTTCAGTTATGAAGTAGCAACAAAAATAATTTTATGGCTGGGGGTTTCTGCAACATGAAGAGGTCACATCATTAGGAAGGTTGAGAACCACTGTTCTATATAGCTTTCAAGTGACGTTGTCAATGCCAAGTCTTCTCGACCCTCAACAAGGTCTAGTTTGTCTCATCAGTACCCACAAGGCTTGTCTCTTTTACTCACATGCTCTTCCTTTTTAATTGAGCAGCCATATTCCCCACCTGCTCAGCTTGGTGCTTGATTCTCAGCTTGATGCTTGATACTCAACTTGATTCTCAGTGAGATCCTAGGGATTTTTTTTTGTTGGACTAATGAATGTAGAGGGATTTTGTTGTTTTAACATGGGGTCTTGTTATGTAGCCCAGATTGGCTGTAGTTTGGGGTGAATTTCTGTCCCAGCCTATCTGGGGCTGGGATTACAAGCTTGAGCCACTATCTCCAGCTTTAACATGGGGTCTTTATGTTTCTGCCTCCTCTCTTATAAAATACTGGTGACAAAAATACTCACACTCACAACACAGTGTTTTTATAGCGAGCTAAAATGCCCCATGTACAATTATATACGGCAAAATTTTTTAAACCCATTTAACTTGGTACCAAAACCTACCTATAAAAGAGAAAGGCTTAAAATGTGATTTGACCAAGATCCTATTAAGTAGCCCATTAAAACATAATTAAAATCTGCTCATCTTGTCCAATGTAATCTACCTGCTGTCTCTTTACTCTGAATCATATGCCCAGAGGATCAGGCCAAGCCTGAAACCGTTCTAATTTTAGGGAAGGACTGTGTATTTGGTTAGCACTGCTGAAAGTCCTCTAAAGGAGCTTGGAGTTTCGTGCTGGGGAGCAGGTAAAGAGTTCATGAAGAGGACCATGTTACAACAAGTGCATGTGATGCCAGTTTGCTAAGCATGAACCTAAAATCTGAGCACACTGGTGATTCACACAGAGCACACCACATAGAACCCAGTCATTAAAAAGGGAATTATGATCACTTCCATAACTAGACACACATAATATGTATAGCTAACACACATTCCATGTGTACCCAAACATTATAGCCTCTAGTCATTAGTCATGAAAATCATCTATTAAATTACGTACCTTCTGGAATACACTGTCCAAGAACAAATTTATATCCTTTGCAGCATTTTTTCCTGGGAGACAAACAAAAGAGCATCTTAGATGTAATGTTGGGTTGAAAATAAGGTTATTTATAGTTACTGATATTGTATAACACAATGTGTCCAACAAACCCCAGAGAGAAGTAGAGATGGAGTATTTTTGGTGCAATCTGAGGTTAAAAAGAAAAATATTAAAATCAGATGACCACATATCTTCCACACACCAGCATCTGCCACCTAATACACAAAACCAACACTCTTGGTCCTATGAAGTATGTTAATTACCTCTGGAGAACAATATAGTTTTAGTGTATAAATGAAGGACCACAGACAGGAGGAGAGAAAGTCCTGGGCTACCACCTACCACACCCCCATTTCCAATGTACATCTAATCAAGGAAAGCGCCTGTGTTCTAAGAGCACAGATGCACAGTGCTGGTAGGAGATGCTTGTACAAATGACCCCCTATGAAGAGAGCATCGGGGACTCCACTCCCAGCTGTCAGACCAATACTACTTCAAAGTAGCTCCCTTATACATGGCTCAAAGACACAAAGGAAAATACGTTTGTAACCTGTTGAAATAAGAGCGGCAGGGCTGCGTCCCCAGCACCCCGGCCGCTTGGCTAGCTCATGCCCAAAATAACAACACACAAACTGTATTCATTTAAAGAACTGCTTGGCCCATGAACTCTAGCCTCTTACAGGCTAATTCTCGCACCTGGACTAGCCCATTTCTAATAATGCGTGTAAGCACCCCAAGGTGCGCTTACCGGGAAGATTCTAGCCTCTGTCCATCCTGGGAGAGTTGAGCATGGCGTCTCTGCTCCAGCAGAGCTGTCGGGTCTCTCTGGAAGCAGAGCAGAGTCTGACCTCACTTCCTCTTCCGCCCAGAATTCTATTCTGTTTACTCCTCCTATCTATGTTCTAAGCTATGAGGCCAAGCAGTTGGTTTATTATAACCAATGACCTTCCTCCATCAGTAACCAATTAAAAAATAAAACGTTTCATCAAAGAAACAGAAAACTCTTATGATTGGAAGTTCTAAGGCTACCTGGGTGGCTCAGTGGGTTAAAGTATTTGCCACATAGCCTGATGATCAATTCCTAAATCCCCCGTAGAAGGAGAGAACAGACTCCTGAAAGTTGTCCTTTGACCTCTGTGTGTGATGAGTTATGCGCCCTCCCCTTTCCCTTCTCAAATAATAATAAAAGAAAATTATAATAAATGAAAATTCTAAAACTATAAAACTTATCTAAGCATTAAGAAAGAAACCCACAAAATCCCCCCCAAAAAAAGAAACCCACATTTAACAGCAAAATGGAGAGATGACATAGGAAAGAACTCTGAATTAACCAATGGGGAGTGATGGCACACACTCATAACTCTAGGACTTGGGAGGCTGAGGAAGTTGGATCTTGTATGAGTTCAAGGCCAACCTGGGCTACAAAGTGAGACACTATCTTTAAAAAAAATAGTGAATTAGTAAACTTATAAACAGTAATTATCCAACCTGACTGACTGGCAGAAAATAAACTCCATGACATCTTTGGCGGTTCTTTGTCAAATAACACTGTCAGCCCCCCCCCTTTGTTAACCTATAGATCATTTGTGTATATATTATGGCTTCTGGTTTTTTTTTTAAATGGGATCCTGTGTGTGAACATGTGTGTCTATATGTCTTGTGTTTGTGAACATGTGTGTTTATATGCACTTATTGTGCTTTTCCTTTGTCGCTTTTTCTTGTTTAGATGTTTAGTCTAATTACAATTTGTTTGTTTTTATTTATTTTACTTTATTATGATTTCTTAGACACCTGTTTGTTTCCAAGGAGAGGCAGAAAGGGGGTGGATCCAGATGAGAGGGTAGGTAGTGAGGTAGGGAGGTAGGGAGGATATAGGAGGAGTAGAGGGAAGGGAAATGATAACCAGAATACATTGTATGAAAAAGTCTATTTTCAATAAAATAAAGATAATTTGTACAGTCTATAATATTGCTCAAGTCAACTCACATGATTTGTCTGCCTAGTGAATTACTGTTTGTGGGAGAAACCTTAGCAAATCTCTTCTAAAAACACAAGGCTTACAAAATGTTATTAAGTGTGTACTCTATAAATTTTTGTAAAGCTTATTTATTATTCACACAGTGTCCTGCCTGTGTGTATGCCTACAGGCCAGAAGAGGGCACCCGATCTTATTACAGGTGATAGTGATAGTGATAGAGATTGAACTCAGGACCTCTGGAAGAGCACTCAATGTTCTTAACCTCTAAGCCTTCTCTTCAACTTGTAAAATGTACGAAAAGTTATACAAAAATATATTTGCAAGAGAATCTGAAATTGGGTTTGGTGTGGCATCTCATTTCACCTCCTCTTATGGCATCCCTCACAAGGAGGCAAGCCATGGTGGCTGTCTCTCTGCAGAAGCACACAAGGCAGCTGTCATTATGAAAACCAATGGTGGGTTAGAGATAAAGAGTATTGCTGCATTTCCAGAGGACCCGGGTTTGATTCTCAGCATCCACATGGCAACTCATAACCCACAACTCCAGTTTCAGGGGATCCAATGCTCTTTTTTTGGCCTCCAAAGGCACCAACCATTCATGTGATATACAGAGAAGGATGCAGGTGAAACACACATGCACACACATGGAAAGAAATAGTGTCAAGATAGTCTTGAAACAGATTTGAGCAAAAAGATAAAAGTTCACTCTCTATGCCCATCTTTTTCTGCCTGTCTTGTCCTTCTAAAATAGATAAACTTGACTCTTCAGTATATTTTATTAGGAGACCAACTCCCCACCCAACCAGCCAAACAACTTTACCATTGACTAGCATTGCATGTGTCACCTCCTGTCAGAACCATGCACAGAGAGCTTGACACTAGAAGTAGGAATTTCTTTTTTCCCATAGCAAGGTCATGTGACTATGCCCTTCCCAGGGAGGGGCCCTGAGAAGAGTTAAATCCCTATCCTGACACAATAATAATACATAGGCTTGTGATAACGCCTCCCCACTGTCCAGGAAGTTCCATCAAGTTAACACACTACCCCCAGGTTTAAGCACCATGAAGATCACTGACTCAGGAGTGCTTGAGGACCACTGGCTCAAGCACCCTTGCCATGATGTAGTGGAAGCTAACTAAGAAGAGCTTACCTTGATTTTCATTCATTAAAGGAAATGGGACTTTATACAAACAGCAAATGGCCACTGTGCCAGAATGCTGTGGGACAATGGTCTTGTACTCTGTAAAAATTGATCACTTGTACTGGTTTAATAAAATGCTGATTGGCCAGTAGCCAGGCAAGAAATATAGGTAGGGTGACCAGAACAGGAGAATTCTGAAAAGAGGAAAGGCTCAGTCTGCAGTCATCACCCAGACACAGAGGAAGCAAGATGAGAATGCCTCACTGATAAAAGGTACCAAGCTACATGGCTAAACAGACAAGAATTATGGGCTAATTTAAGATGTAAGAGTTAACAAGAAGCCTGCACTAATAGGCCAACCAGTTTATAATTAACATAGGCCTCTGTGTGTTTCTTTGACTGAATGGCTGTGGGACTGGGTGGGACAGAAATCTATGTCAACACCAGAAGTGTTCCACAGTGACAGTTTACAGTATCAATCTGAATGACATAATTAGACATAATTTCCCGATATCTCCCACTAAAATATCACACTCTGAGGGAAGCCCATGTGGAACACTTTGACGGTGATGACTGGAAGATCCACCTTGATATTGCTATGGAGCTGAAACTCAGCCTAGTTTTCCACAGCATAGAAAACAGTCCAAGATGCCTGCAACCAAAAGGAATGTCAGCCATATAGAAAGCTCATTAAAACTTTATGGCTATTACCAACTGAGATACGTGTAGTCGCTCTTTAGAAAGCTGCTTGCTGTTTTAACACTGAAGTGACACATGAGAAGGTCGGGTGGAGGGGAAAACATACGTTTCTGATACTTAGATCTAACAGCATCTAAGCATGAGGTTTTAGTTTACTTGCATGCAAGTGCTACAGCCTAGATACAGCTTCTCACATACTCTAAGACATTTGAAAGATCATAACAAACGGTACCATCCTCACTCTCAGCCTCTCTCTTCATTCGCGATATTACACTTGGATACTGTCCATGTTTTGAACATTTGAAAGGCTCTGTACTGTGCAAACAGGTTTTTTTCTGCTTCCATTGTTTCTTTTGGGAGAAGCAGGGAGGCGGTTTTTGGTTATATGTGTATGTACACACTCACATACTCACTCACACACACACACACACACACGCACATGCACGGAGACTAGAGGCCGACATCAAGGTTGTAGTTTATATATGCATGTATTTCTTTGCAAATAGGGTTTTAAAGAACTTGGGGCTCATGGATTGGGTCAGAATAGCTGGCCAGTGACTTCCAGGCATCTTCATGTCTCTGCCCCTCAGTGCCAGGGTGACAGATGGACACTGTAATGCTGAGCTTTTTCTTGGATAACCTTTTACAAGATGAAATGATGTCCAAGTGATCTGGTATGTTTCAGAAGGTCCCAGGAAAGTGCTGAGTCCCAGGATGAACACATGCCACTTCCACACCAGCTTAACTAAGAACTAGCATGCACTTTGAGTTTTTCTTAAATGCATCACTGAGTCCATCCAGCTCTCTGTTCCAGAGAAGAGGTACTCAGATGTGAGCCACCTTCCTACATTTCCCAGAGTTCCTGGGAACCTATCGTTATTTTGCATGTCCAACTACCCGCCAATCATAGTTTGCCATTTAAAAAATAAATGAAATATTCTCAAATAGAGGAAAATTAAACATGGGCTACACACATCATCCCATGCCCAAGATTTCTTACAACATAATTTACATGTAAAAAAGTTGAGGCAGCCCAAGTAAAATCTTGTCATGCAAGCCAGGCGCTTGTTAGAATGAACTCCAAACACCACTGTGCAGTTTTTATCGTTAAGAAAAACAAACTACAATGAAGAATGCTCTCAGGGACTCTGGGGAGACAGCCCCTCTTAATCCATTTCATGTGTTAGAGCTG